GAGTTAGAATAATGGCAATTAGGCTAAATGTTAAAGGAAAATGTAGAATTACAGATGCACCTGAAAAATCCATCAAAGAATGTTGTTTTAATGTTCAAAAATCATCTAATTAATCATCTCAACATCGAGATGTATGAATATAAAAAACACAAAAAAGATTTTGAGTCTCAGAAATAGTGCATCTTGCAAACACATTATCTAGACCATCCATTTTCATGATTTTCATATATTTATAGATCTACTTGATTTTGACCATTTTTGGACTTTAAAATTTTATAATTAGATATGAAAATATATTTTGAGATAATCTTAAGAATTTTTTACACCAAAATTATATGTTACGATAAAATTTGGACGTGCGCCTTAATTGGATTGTTTAAGGTTGCAACCTTATAGAAACCACACCCAATGTCAAATACTTTATCTCTTTCGATTATTTTGACAAATTTCTCAATTTTTTTGATATTAATGAATCTAAATTCAATTCTACACAATAAAATACTAGTGATATACATGTGTGTTGCACATGTGCTAAATATTAATCATTAAAATAAATTTGATATCATAAATTGGCATATTCGATTATAGGGAGAGTTATAGAAAGAGAGAAAATTTGTTGGATCCATCTTAACATATTGGCTTCTATTAAATAATAATTTTATAATTTAATTGTAATATTTTCTAACCCACTCTAAAATTATTATTAATCATATTAGCAAATTTATTATTAACTTATAAGTAAAATATTATTCAAGAGAATTAGAAAAATAAAAATGTAAAAACATATCATAGAGGTTTGTTAGTTAATAATTAGATGATAACGTCATTCAATATTTTTGTTAACATATGAAATATCACATATTTAATATTTAAAAACAAATAAATTTACAAAATCCATAGATATTCTTAGATATTTTGAAATATGCCAACAATTATAATCCATTATCGAAAACTCAAGACTTCAACTTACAACCAATAGTCACATGAGAACAAACAAACAAAAAAATTTAAGTACAAATTTAGGTTTATCATTTTTCACGCCTCAATTTTTTTTTCAACCAGGTTTGTAAACCCTTCTTCTTCGCATGACACTATCATGAGATGCCCAAACTCGACCCTCAAGTCGCATTTCATAGACTTGGGATAGACCCATCTTTTAATCCCGTGAAGCAAAAGTCAAGAAGATTCTGAGCTGAACCTTGAGGTACAAATTGATGCCAAAGTAATCAAGCTCAAGGCAGCATGTTTCATCAAAGAAGTCAAATACCCAAAATGGCCAGTCAAGAAGAAAAATGTATAATTTGGGTACGTATCGACTTTCGTGACTTAAATGCCGCATATCCAAAAGATGACTTCCCACTTTCATTCACCAATATGCTCATTGATTCGACAACCAGTTGCCAAGCCTTTTCCTTCATGGATGGTTAATCGGGGTATAACCAGATAATAATGGCTCATGAAGATGAAGAAGCTACAGCCTTCTTAACTCCCAAAGGGGTTTTTTGCTACACCGTGATGTTATTTGGCCTAAAAACCACGGGGGCCACTTATCAGCAGGCTATGACCACTGTCCTAGAAGATATGTTGCATGAAGAGGTAGAATACTACACAGATGATCTCGTAGTAAAATCAAGAGAGAGAAGCGGCCACATCCAGAATCTTGAGCTAATTTTTTAGTGGTTCCATCTTCATCAACTCAAGATGAACCCCCTAAAGTGTGCCTTCGGCACACGGTCAGGGAAATTCTTGGGATTTGTTTTCAGGTATGAATGCTTGGAGATTGAGCTTGTCAAGATTACAGCTATTCAAGAGATGACATCTTTAAGGAATTTGCGAGAGCTAGGATCTCTTCAAGGCAAGCTTGCCTACATCTAGAGATTCATCTCTAATTTTGTAGGAAGGTGTAACCCCTTTACTCACCTATTAAAGAAGGATACGCCATTCAAATGGGACGAAGCATGTTAGGTAGCCTTTAAAGACATCAAGACCTATCTCTTAAACCCCTTCGTGCTCTCCACTCCTATTCCTGGGAAGTCCCTCATTTTCTATATGACGGCTCTTGATGAGTTGCTCGGTGCATTACTCGTATAAAATAATGAAGAGGAAAAAGAGACAATCGTGTACTATCTCAGCCGAAGGATACAAGGAGCTGAAGATAACTATTCTCCCATCAAACAGATGTATTTGTCCTTGATCTTTGCAGTTCAAAAGGTTATATACTATTTATTGGTACACCCAATTTGGATTATTTCACGAGCTAACCCTATTAAATTTCTCATGTCGTGCCCTTGTCCATTGGGACGCCTTGCGAAATGGTCACGACTGAGTAGTTATTTTTTGGAAGGTGCATAAGAATAAGAGATAAGGGTATAATTTGTTAGTTGGTAAGTTAAATACTTTGGTGTTAATTGGTAGGGTATTAATTTGTAGGTTCCTTTTATTAGGAAAATATGTATTTATTGGGGTGATGTGGTTATCCAAGGAAGTAAAGGAAATAGAGTTATAAAAGGAGGTGGAACGTACCATGTAATGGAATTAATTATTAGTTAGTGAAAAAAAAAGTACTTTGTAGAGAGTGAGAGCCTTTTATGGGTCTTTTTTTTTCTCTTTTGTTTATGGGCTCATCCTGGACGACTCGGATCTGCACATTTGTTCATTTCGCTTGCGATTTTCTTTTTGATTTTTATTTTTTTTTCTAAAACGGGGTTGTTTTTGTCGGGTATTGGTTGCCGATAATTTTGT